TTAGCTCTTGCAATGCTGCTTACTAATAATTATCTTCAATTACTTTGTACTTTTAGGATTAGTTTAATATCCATTATTTCTATTGCTTTTAACAATAACCAATTGTCACTTTTCATAGGTAAGCGTTTTGAAAGTAAAAATGTTGGTTAAATAAAATTTTGCATCCACAGCTTACTTAAAAATATGTTTCTTAATGTTCAAGTATCTGGAGAATGTTTAAAATTATTTTTTTATTATTGTTTTTTAATTTAATAGGACTTTGGTCAGAAATATTCCGTGTGCTTGAAAAGAACATGTATGTGAAGTTGTTGGATACAATATTCTATGTAGATCAATTTAGTCACGCTTGCTAACTGTACTGTGAAAATCTATTTCTTGATTTTTTATCAGATCTACTAGGAACTGAATAAGGAATATAACAATGGTTTTTTGTTGTTGTTGTTTGTTTGTTTTTGCTTTGTGAAAGACACCACAAAGAGAGTAATAATGTGAACTAATGACAAGGGAGACTAAATCACATACCTGACAAAAACTTACTCTAAGAATGTATTAAAAGCTCAAAATTCAACAGTAAGAAAAGTATGAAGAGACAACCTATAAAATGGTAAAAAACTTTTGCCACCTACTGTCAGAGGCCAAACACATAAAAAATAGATCCCCTCCTCAAAACACTCAATCGAAGAATGGACAACTCAAACAGACACTTCTTGGAAGAAGTACAAACATCCAATAAACACATGAAAAATGTTCAACATCTGCAGTTATGAGAGAAATGCAAATTAAAACACTAAAATTCCATCTTACTCCATTAAAAAGGGCTACAAACAAGAAATTAGATAACAAATGATAGTGAGGCTGTGGGGAAAAAGGAACCCTTCTACAGTGTTGGAATGTAAACTGGTATAATCACTATGGAAATCAGTATGGAGATTCTTCAAAAATCTAAAAATAGAAATTCCATTCATCACTTGTAAGTATCATTCCAAAATATTTTAAAGATATCACATTATGGTGATACATGCATACTCCTATGTCTTAGTTACTTTTCTCTCATTGCTGAGACAAAATACTCAATGCCCAAAATTAAGGAAAGGTTTATTTAGCACATAGTTTGTTGAGGTTTCAGTCCATAATCAGCTGGCTCCAATGCAGGGTGGCATGACAGAGGGGCAAAAATTTATGGTGGTCGAAGACAACAAAAGCAACAAGAACAAAAAGGGGAAGAGAGAGGACTCTTTCCGTTCCTTACAGTGCATGTAGGCTACCCACCCTAGGGTAGGTGTAGCACTCATACTCATAATCCCAACACTAGACAATGAATCAACCACAAACTGTAGAAGCCTGCCCCCATGACTGCATGAGGTTTTGGGGAACATCAAGACATAAACCATAATATATATTTATAGCAACACAACTCATCATGGCTAGAAGTGATGTGTATGTCTATCAACAGATAAATGGATAAGAAAATATATTATTTATGACAAAGTACTACTCTGACACAAAGAAGGTCTACTCTCTTTAATTCTATTCTGTTAGGGCAAGAAGTAGTTAATGACTGGCCAATTTTTAGTAGAGATAACAGGTATTTAGTGAGCCACCAAAATATTCATTTAACAAGCAAAAACGCTTCAATCAGGACAACAGTTACTCCTGAGATAATGCCTTTTCCCTTTTAAGAGATTAAAGAAAACAACAAAAGCAACAAGATTTGAGTCACCTGTAGAAAAACTGATGCACCTAAAGATTACCATGTAAAGTGAAATAACAGACGGGTAAGCTTAAATATTACATATTTTTTCTTATATGAGAAACCCAAAGCATTAAAAAAAAAAAAAAAGAGCTAAATCAAAGCTAGATAATAAGAAATTGATATAAATTTTTTTCCCAAAAAATTGAGGCAGGGTCTCTTTATGTAGTTCAAACTGGTCTTAAACTTGCTATTTAGCACAGATTGGCCTTGAACTTATTACAATCGTCCTGCTTCAGCCTCTTTGCTGCAGGAGACGACAGGTGGGTACTACTATATTGGGCTGAACATATGCAAATAGTAAGGGGACCAAGAAATGGAGAGGAAGAAGGAGGGAGACAAAATAGAAATAAGCTGTGTTATATAAATACACCAAATCCCCACAATGAATGTAGTTATTATGTACTACAAACATGTACTAATAAAAACTTAAAAACAAACCAAATTCAGAAGTCAGTAAAACACAGAAAGGATTTTCATTTAAAAAGATACATTCAATATTATTAGCCACTAGGGAATGCTATAATGAGATAAAAATATTGGAAAAGCTTAAAAAAAAAAAAACAAAAATCAAAAGGTTAAAAGAAACAAAACAACATTTAGAACAGTTTTCCAGTTTTTTGTAAAGTTAAATATACTCTCACACTGTGACTTAGTAATCCCTTTATGAGATCTACTATGGATAAATGAAAATTTAAATTCACAAAAATTTTTTGAATGTTTATAGTTGCTTTATGAATTAAAAACAAAAAATGCACCGAAAACCTGTAAACCAAGATGTCCTCCAGTGGGTGAATGGTACAGTACACTTACACTACAGAACAATACTCAGCAATAAAAAGAAGTGAACTACTGAAACACATGATAATTTATACAGATAAAACACACTGAAATATGTGAAAGAAGTCAGTATCAAATGGGTATATACTGTGGGGCTCATTATAAGACATTACAGAAAAGAAAAAAATTACAGAGAACAGACGCATAGTTTTAAGGGAAAGACACAGCGTGAGTACCTTTTTTTTTTTTTTAAACATAAAACTGCTCTACAGGGCAGGGGATATAGCTCAGTGACATAGAACCTGCTTGACAAGTGCAAGGTCCTGAGTTCAATTTCCAAGGTCCTGAGTACCAATACCCCCCTGTAAAACAAAAACAAAAACAAAAAAACTGCTAGTCTAACTGTGGTAGTGATTATGCAAATACATATGTATTAAAACTCATAGAACTGAACATCAAAAAAATCCATCTATTATATGTAACTTCAAAAATAACATACTCCTCTGCTTTCTCCACCAGTCTTTTACTTCCTTTCTTTTCATCCTAAAATTTCCATTTTTTTTTTCACTTCTCTAGAAATCCCTATTTCACCATTCACATGATCTAGCCATAGTAAATGTTTCAATTTTTTCAAGTATGCTCGCTATTGATGTCAGGTTTTCATTTGTGCTGACAGATCTACAGTAAAAATCATTCTTCTGGCAAAGTTTTATTCATTTTTCTGGCTTAAGTAAATATACTAATTTAGAGAACATCCTTACTCTCTATTCCTGGGCTGGGCTAGCTGTTCCTGCCTGGGATAATTGTGAACTGGACTGGCCAAGAGATTAGTGAAGCACACCTGTGAGTATGTCTAGATGGGTCGTGGGGACTACTTCTGGTCCCCTGGCTCCTTCCCTCTGGTGTTCTTCTCTTGCTCTGCTTTCTTTTGCCATCTTGAAGTGAGCATGCCCTTTTGCTATGACAACTGTCTTGAAGTCAGCCAATCACTGACTCAAACCTCAGAAACCATGAATAAAGCTTTCCTTAAAGCTTTATTCCTTTAGGTATTAGGTATTTTGTCCCAGCAATGGGAATGCTGACCAGTACACAGCCATAGGATTCCACAGCATTCTGTATTTTGCCCTTCACATCCTCATGTGCAGTATTTAATTAATATATGTTCCATATATTTCTCCATCCACTACTCTGAGTTGCAAGAGAGCAGGGATAATTAATAATTTGTTCACTAAGTAATTCTTAGTGCCAACTCTATGCAAGGTACATGATACATTCACTAAAATGAATGCTTCAAGATTTGTTTGTATCTTTTTTTTTTTTGTACCAGGGATTGAACTCATGACAGCGCACTTGCAAGGCAGGTGCTTATGCTGCTGAGCTAAATCTTCAGCCCTAAACAACTTGGTTCCACTTTAAGGCAGACAGAAAATCTTGCTTACCTTCATTTATCAAAACAGAACACCATTTCAAATACCTCTGCTTGTGATACTCACTTGAAACCTGTCTTCTCTTTACATTCCTCTCTCATCTACCTTTTGTCTCTCCCCCTTCAATACCCATTCCACTTGGCAGTATTAGGAACTGAACTTAGGGTCTTCCCAGTGCATGTTAGGCAAATGGTCTACCATTTGGCTAAACCTCCAAGTGTCCTTTTGTTCTCCATGCAGCAAAATTCCCCTTCATGCTTACTGAAAATCTGCTCATTTTCTTCATAAAGTGTCAATATCCACATAAGAGAAAAACAATTTTTCATAAATCATTATATAGCAAAATGGTAAGTCTAAGGCAGAAAAGTTTTGACACACACAAAAAAGAATTATACAATCTGGTATAGGAAAGGCCAATGACTATAAAATCTTTTGTTGTTGTTGTTCTTTTGAGATAGGATCTTGCCATGTAGTTCACACTGACATTAACCTCTAACTCACAGCAATCCACCTGCCTTAAGTCTCCCAAGTTCTGGGATTAGAAGCATGCATCATCATGCCCAGTTTATAGGTTCAATTTTAATAAAGAGATGGGGGAAGATGAAAACAAAATGCTAATATATTCCATTTGTGCTTTATAAAAAAATCTTACAATGATACTACTACATTATGCAAATGAGTAGTAATACAGGCTTCACTGATGTGAGAATATCTTTTATGTTCATGATTACTGAAGTATACAAAAACATTTTCTTATTAATCTTTATTTTGAAAAGTAAGTATGCTAACAATACTTACTATCTTCTATGGTCTAAAAGTTATTTTATAACAGAAAACACTACCTGGAATAAAACACATGAATGGTTTTCTTTAACCAACCTTCTCATCAGGTATTAAGAGGAATCTTCAATGATATTATGCCAGCAGCAATCACAAGTTATTCCATGTGTTACTTAATCCATTTAAGACATTAAAAAATCTTCTGATACAGAGTAATACAGCCTAACTCAACAACTAATTCAAAGTAAGCCTTTTCCACTTACTCTTGCATAGTGGAATTCAACTCCATAGAATTCTAAGGTACGTGCTGTGTTTAGGTAATTAAATTCTGCTTCTGCAGGAGATAAGCCTCTGTAAAGACACACAAATTAAAATTAGATTCATTGGAATATGGTCAAATCAGAAAAAGGATATTTATCAGGAAACACAAGCAGTTTATTTAAATCTACAATAAACAGTAAAGCAACATCTAATTTGACTTACTGGGAAGTCATAATTTCAGTAACCCTCATTATTATTTTCTAGAGTATTTTCTTATTTTCTACAAATGCAAGAATACAGTAAATTTTTAAAATGCCTAACTGGTCTCACTGCTGTAACAAAGTCACTTATTTTACATATTATTCAGAAGTGTTACTTCTCAAAATTCAAAGTTCATACACCTTAGGTGCACTTAAATCACACAAAGAACTTCTAAACCGTGCATGTCTTAAGACAATTTCCAGAGAAGCGCTTTTTCATGGTGAGGTGGACAGGTGGACAGACAGGTACTCATTTACAAGTTCAAAACTGAGCATGTCAGAAACTCTGTGTGTGTGTGTCTCACTGTGTTCCAAGCCCTTTTTCTTTGACAGAAGGTTGCTAAAGTGCTCAAGCTAATCTCAAAGCTAATCTCAAACCCATAATTTTCCTGTTTAGGCTTCCTGAGTACCCGTGTCTCAGTTATGAATTACTATGCATGACTGAAGAAATATTTTTTAAAATTAGGTATTACATCAAGCTCCTTTTCTTACCTTCTATTTGGCTTATGATCAAACAGAAATCAACACCTCTCATCTAACTAAAAACTAAGAAAGAATTACCAATTAAATTGATCTGTGTTTTCTGACTATATTAATACTCTAAAATTCCTTTTTTTTTTTGAGATAGGGTCTCACTACATAGCTCAGCTTGGCCTTAACTCACTGTGCAGCCCAGGCTAGTCTCAAATTCACAATGAGGGCTGGGGATTTAGCTCAGCAGCATAAGCACCAGCCTGGCAAATGCAAGGTCATGAGTTCAATCCCCATACCAAAAAAAAAAAAAAAAAAAAAAATTGCACATCAAACTTGCAGTGATCCTCCTGACTCAGTCTCACAAGTGCTGAGATTTCAGGCAGACACCACCATACCTGGCTCTAAAACTCCTCTTGCCTGACAATTTTACATAATAATAACGAATAAATCTCTGTTTACATACAGTTTTATGGTTGTAACAGAAAGGAAAACAAGTCCTTTATATATTATTTTATAAAATTAGCATGCTATTTTCAGTATAGATCACCTGTATTTTTTACATATTATTTTATATATTAACTTCTATATTAAGTAGAATGAAATTTTTAAAAATTCCATTTCTCTAGAAAATATGGCACAAACAAGCAAACAACAAAATAAATTCTTACGTATGCTGTTGGTGTAATTTTACAATTTCTTTTTCAAAATCTTGAGGTTGATTAGGAATGAAAGAATAATCTGAGAGGTAGCCTGGCAAGTTTTCAGACTGATTGTAGTCTCCAAGTTCAGCTAATAATAAAAAGAAAATATTTACACTTTAATAAAAATTTTTCTATTATTATTATTATTATTACTGGTACTAAGGATCAGAACCACAGTTTTCCCACTGGGTAATAATCCCAGATCTTTATGATTTTTTATTTTGAGACAGGGTTTCACTAAGTCATAAAGTTGCCTAGGCTGGGCTCAAACCTGGACTACTCCTACCTGAACCTACTAACATTCTGCCTTAGAGTATTGAAAATATAGACATACACAACCAGGCTTGGAAAATTTTTAATTTATTATAGGCCAATAGGCAATGTTATTAATTCATTACATTTCTCAAAGTAAAATATTTATGTCTCTAATGTGACTACTAAAGGAAGATACAACAATTCATTTAAAATTCTTCTGTGACTCAAACAATCTTAGAGAAATTTTTTCAAGCATCAGAGTAACTGCTAATTAGATATTTCATTTCCTCTGAAAATTCCTATTTTCTGTGCAGTAAGATGTTTAATGAACTCTTGCATTAAAGGCAATATACTGTCAACACAGAATGCAGAATCACAGGCTATCTGACCTCATGTGGGCCGATACTTACACTGAACAGCAAATGAAGCTAAAAGGGCAGCAGTATTATATGGACAGGGCAATCTAATAAAACAAAATATACATGGTTAAACATTAATGATACTACATATAATTATTCGTTGATAATTTGTAATGATCATGAATTACTTCAATAATGTAATTTGAGTTTTTTTCAGTCTATTACAAAAATGTAAAATAACGTACCTTCCAGTAAGAATGTCTTGTTTTATTTGCAAAAAATATTGGTACCTTAAGAAAAAAAAAGGGTAGCATTTATTGAATTATAATAATTTCAGTTCTAAGAAATTATACACTTACTTTAACAAATAAAATACAAATATTTGATTACTTGCTTTAACAATTTATAACACATGTAATGTTAGCATATGAATTCATTAGAACATACTTTAAAATAAGCTTTATAAGTTCATGAATACAAATCTTTCAAATTCTTGGATACATGAAATTTTATATTTCAAATATCTTCTATTATAAAACTTTAAGATTTTAAAGTTGTATCATCAAGGAAGAAGATTGAGAAATATTCTGAAGGTTGGTATATGCAGAAAATAGAACTGATAAGCAAGAAAACTTGAGCATTAGACATATGGGAAAGCTGACATTCACACATGAGAAAAAAGAATCATCCTTTTTGCTGCGAGAAGAAGTCAGATGAAAAGATGGGCCTATGTTTAGGCCATTTTATTACTAGACTGTTGTAGACACAACATATAATCATTTGAGTTAAAAAAAAAGGCTCCCTTTGATCAGAAAAGAAATCTAAATTGCTTTTCATACTATTGCTCTATATGTAGGAAATCATCTCATTTCAGAAAATTAGATCTGTTTTAAAATCAACTTTTGTTAAATGATATATAAGTACACTCTAACAAGACTGCTGAGGTTGCAAAGAGATGGCCTTCTCTTTCTGTTCTTGCTACTAAGACCCACTCATTATCAACCTCGACATTACTGGCAACTACAATGATGGCATTTTGTTAAATGTTTTAAAAAGGAATTTTGAGACTTTTGTTTATTCAACTAAAAATAAAATACATATCTCAAGAGTCAAAGCTCATTTAAAAATCTTGTCATTAATTTGCCCCAAGACAACATTCAAATTACCAAAGAATATAATTCAGGTTCTTAGAGAATCAGATATTTGCTTCACACACACACACACACACACACACACACACACACACACACACACACACGTGTAAGTGTGCGCAGGCACAATCTTGGCTTTATGTATTAGTGATGGAGATAAACTCCTTGTGAGGCTTAATGAATAACATTATAATAAATATTATCTACTTAATTCAATACTGTACATTTCTGTCAGTTCTAGTTGGTATCATAATTAAAACTTTAGGATGGGTTGGGAAGTAGCTAAGAGTAAACTGCATGCTTAGCATGTGCAAGGGGTCTGGTCTTGGATTCAATTTCCAACACCACCACACCACCATCTCTCCCAAAAAAGAAAAAATACATTGCTAGTGTGGAAACAACCTTATAATCCAGATATAAAGGTATGGATACCCTCCTTCTGGTTGTATCTAAACATCCCCTCAAAGCCTCAGATGATCATAGGTGGGGATTTGTCAGGTGAGTGTACAATACTCAGGGCCCAATACTCATCAGTGCATTAATCCACTGTCAACTTTACAGCCAACTGTGACGTTGTGTGAGACCTAGAGGGTTACTGGGGGAATAGTCTAGAAGGGTGTAGCTCCCTCCCTCATCTCTTGTTCTTTCTTCTACTTCCAGCTACAATGCCCTCAGTCACTGTTCACCATACCTCTCTGCCACGTCAACCTAAACCTGGATGCAGCCCACTATGGACTAAAATCTTTACAAACTGTGAGCCAAAATAAACTGCTCATCCTTTAAGTTGTAAGTGCTAGGTATTATGTACCACTGACAAGGAAAGTAAATAAGACAATCTTTGACATTGTATTTTAAGACCTACAAATAAAACAGCTATATTTGCTAAATTTTACTTACATATTTATTTAATCAAGCAGGATTATTGCAATAGAAACCAGAATTGAAGTCCGAGGTTATCAGTCTGATCTGAGGCAAATTTGTTAAACATTCAGTGAAATTTATTTATTTAATCAAGCAGGATTATTGCAATAGAAACCAGAATTGAAGTCCAAGGTTATCAGTCTGTGATCTGAGGCAAATTTGTTAAACATTCAGTGAAACTTGCTTTCTGTATTTGTAAAAAGAACTAGAATCATTTGTCTCATATATGTATCGTAGGAACTAAAAAAATCCAATTTTAATGATGCCAGCTTTTGCCAATACTAAATAACATTTAAACCGATGGATGCTCTCTGATATCATTCTTTTTTTCCACTAATTCAAAATGCTAAGTCAATATAAAAAGTTATCACAGATTTCAGGCTTGGGATCTAAACAAGTCTTAAAAATTTAGCAATGTGGCCAAGGGTATCCTCGTTACTAATCATGATCACCATATTAAAGCTACTCAAACACTAAAGTTTTACAGGAATATTTCTCAATTCTGGCTATGTATGAGAATCCCCTGAGGAGCTTATGCATGTGTATGCTTAGTTCACCCTTAAGACCTACTAAAGGAGAAGCATTAGTATGGTTTAAAGATCTCTCACCTGATTCTAATTTGTAGTTAAGTATTGATGTACACCTCAGTAATTAACTAAAAACTAGCCATGTAACATATTTCACCAAATATACTAGTTATAAGATTTTATATTAGAGGTTTTATTTATATTGTGGTCTAGGAATTGCCTATCACTGAATTATTTCCCAGTCTTACTTTTATTAAAAAAATAATTTTGAGACAAAGTCTCCCTAAATTGTGCAGGCTGACCTCTAATCTGTGATTCTCCTGCCTCAATCTATAGAATTACCTAGATTGCAGGTGTGTGCCACCTCCCAGCTATAAAGGGTTTCAAAATAAAATATCACTTCTAGAGAAAATAAAGATAACCTGACCAGTGGTCGTGAACTTGTGGCACGTGTGCTGCAGCAGGCTGTTTGTTATCACTGAAAGCTCTGAAAGGTTCACCCTGACTTAGACTGAAGAATTTAGCACAATTTTCAGTAACTATCAAACATGGTTTCACTTTCCTCAACTTCAGGAAGTTATTCTGAGGGCCCGGCATAGTGATGCACAGCTGTAATCTCAGCACTTGGGAGGCTGAGGCAGAAGGAACATCAGGAGTTTGTGAGTTTAAAGGCAGCCTGAATTACATTGTGAGATCCTATCTCAAAAATCACAAAGAAGTTATTCTAACTTAATTATCAGTGAAACACATTTATTTCCTGGTTATACTTTCAACACAGGCTATAAACAAAACAACACATTTAAGTTCCATTCAGAAATTCAGTTTTCTGAATGAAGTAATTATGAATCTGGTTACAACTGACAGTATGTTAATTGTTTATAATAAAAGTTATCATAAACATTAAAGAAGGTAAAAATCCAATTTTAAATTATTTTACAAATATTTTATACACTTAAAAGTCTAATTATATAAAATGTATGTTATAGAACATTTTATTTGATTTCAATTATTATATGTACCTGCACATGATTTTCAATAATTCAGGGTACTTACCTTACAGTTTGCATAAAATTAGAGGAAGTTTTACTATACTAAGTATTATTATAATAAAAGACCTTATTATTTAAATATTTTAAAATGTGATTCAGGGCAAGAATGCTGATTAAAGGATTTACACAGTGCAACTCTGTATTTCATGGCAAATTAGCTTGAATTCTACTACTGGTTGTAAATGTTAGGGTTGCCTTATCCTGAACCTGCATAGCTGACTTTTCCCATTATTTAATAAATAAATAAATAAACTACCCAGCCTCCCTCAACACAAAGAAAAGGATTCTCATAAATTTCAACCTAATTTTTCTCTTTTGGCTTAGTAGTAAAAGATTTTACAGATACTTGAGAATTAGTATCTCAGGCTGAATATCCTTAATTTAGTTTTTTCCCCCTTCACTCCAGCATAGTATTCTAAACAATACCCAATACAATAAAATTTAATAATTTGTTTATAGGAAGCTGTAGGTATGATTTTTTAAGTTCAACACATTTTAGTTCAACTCCAAAACTAGTTTATGTTCCCCTGAAGTAGGACTACTTTATTCCTTGATTATGTTTTCAGGGTAGATCTAAATTAGTTTCTTTCTGCTTTTTGGAGGAGTACAAGGGCTTTTAGGGATTAGAACCTTGGAGCCCAGAGGTTCTATTTAAATTCCAGGACTAATTTATATCCCCCAAATCAGAATGCAGTCACTGATCTATAGTCTGTAAGAATTTTAGAAGGTATAATATACTGATTCTTTATTCTGTCTTGTCTTTAATTGATTACTAATTCTGCCATTCAAATAATGCACAAAGTTATCATTCATGTTATTTTAATGATGACAGTCATCACACATCAGGATATCTTATTTCTAACCATGATCATTTCACTTGAAATTCAACAACAATATCAAATTCTCATTCAGATCATTTCTGTGTACTGTCAATAAGAAGTCATAACACAATTAGTACATGAGCTCAAACCTCAAATGGGCAGTAAGGTGGCCTGGTAAAGTCTTGGGTGTGCTGGGGTACCCGCCCACAACTTCCTTCCTTAAGAACACACAGTGGGAAAAGGTACCTATTGACCATTATTGTTTCCCTCAATGAAAAAACTACAGAAATGCTTTTACATGGATGAAAAAAAACCACTGAAAATTCTCATACTAGGAATTATCTCTTGGATACAATTTCAGTGTCGTTTCAGTACTCCGTTTAATTAGAGGAGCACTTCTTAACTACTGTTCACAAGCAGAAAAATTACTAATTTGTATGGCTTGGGAGGCTATTTGTGGCTCAATAAGGTAGTCCTGAAGTTCTAATGCTAAGAGCCCTCCTACTCACCCAAAAGGAGAGGAAGCATCTATAAATTATTCTATGTGCTGGCTGAGAAGCTCAGAATTACAACAGATAATCTGTTTTTGTCTAGTTAATTTTCAAATTTCTTATTAGAGTTCTGACAGAATTTTCAAAAGAAGTATGCTCTATAAACCTACCTTGTATATTCTTCTTGTAACTTGTTGGGGTCACTTACAAAAAATTTGACTCTAAAGTTCAAACTGTAAGGAGATCCTCCTAGAATTAATAAAAGCAACTCTAATTAATCAGATTATAATAATTCTTTATTATTATAACATACAATTCTAAAACATTAAGTAAATGTGTACTCACTCTTCAGCTGCTTCCTTATTGGTTTGTTTGGATCCAGCCACCTCTGAAAAATAAGCAAAGAAGATTGACTTATTTACCTTGAGGAACTAATATTTTAGTTCTCATGAATCTGGTCCTCTTGAAGATTAACATTAAAAACTTCATTTTTTAAAACTTCTAGGTGGGAAAATAATTATTATAGATAATATTATTCACATCAAACAACAAAATTATGCTAGAGATTACTAATGTATTTGGAGTAGCTCCAAAGTTTTGATTTGAATTTCTCATAAATTTATATAAAAAGCAATAAACTATTCCAAAAGTAAAGATGTTTGGTAACTATAGCAGTCTGAAGTGATAATCTATAAATTTACCTACTCTATTTTGCAAACTTAAAAATTTCTCTTTACCTTTCTTAAGATAAAATGTTAGGCTTTACAGTCACTGAAGAGAAAATGTCAATTACAGAACTTAAAAATTTTTCTAAGTAAAACAAATTTCATAATTTTACCCTATTCTTTAAAAAATGTAAAAAATTAAACTTCAATTTCATGAGATATGTTTAATTTGAGAAATGACTGCTTTTTGTGTATAATTTTAAGCAGTCTCAGTATTTCTGAATGCCAGTGAAGTTCTATTTCTTGACAATTATAACTGAATTCAGAAAACATTTCAACTGTCAACATGTTTCAGTTAAAAAAAAATTAAAGAACCCAAAATGAGGTACTAAATGTGGTGATATTTTCAAAGAACTACATAGATATAAATCATATATCACTATAAACCTAACTCCTACAAGCCATATTTGATTCCATAAAAAGCACATAAACAGATTTAAAATTTTTATTTATTTACTCGTGGTGGTTCTGAGAGCTGAACTCTCCCTCTTTCATGCTAGGCAAGTCCTCTGCCAACTGAGCTACACTTCCAGTCCCATTAGACTTTAGTAATGAGCAGCTGGAAATAATCCATGAGTTTTTCCATTATCTGTAATATGTGACACACTAAATCCAGTTGACTCTATCTTCAAACTACTACTAGAATTTACCAATTCTTCTCAATCAACTTTGTTATCATCCTTGTTTGTGGTCTAGGCCCTGGCCATTGTCTCTTAATTGCTCAGTTTCTTTTTTATCTCTTTCTTCATCCTCAATTGAGTAATCTTTTTAAAAAAACACTAACGAGGGGCTGGGGACTTAGCTCAGCGGCGTAAGCGCCTGCCTTGCAAGCAGGCAGTCATGAGTTCGATCCCTGGTACCAATAAAAATGAAAAAGACAAAAAAAAAAAAAAAAAAAACCACTAACGTGATTATGGTGATCCTTTGCATAACACCTCTTGATAATTTCTCAGTGCAAAATTACAACACCTCGAATGTTCTCTTTTACCTCATCTCAAATTATTAGGTCCAGGGCTGTGGATATAGCTCAGTGACACAACTGCCTGACTGGCAAGTGTGAAGTCGTGAGTTAGATCCCCAGTACCAAAAAACAAAAACAAAAAACCAACAACAAAAAAACCAAATTACTAGGACCAGCCATGTGACTCCTTTCTCTTTCTCAAAGATGCTATCTTAGGACCTCCAATTTTAAGCCTCCCCTTTACTTGTCTAGCTTTCCCATACCTGACACCATCCTCTTTGTTATTGTAAATCCTATCTTCTCTAAAGGGTTTTCACAGACTACTCTATCAAATGAATGTCATGCAGCTCTTAATCACTCAGTTATTTCTATAAACAAGGAACGTTTATCTCCTTCATAACACTTTCATAATTCTATTATTTGTTTTTCCTTTTCATTATCTGTATCTTTCATTAAATTATAAACTCCATGAGGTCAGGGTTAAAATCTGTTTCAATCAACAAAGAGGACATCACCTAGTATACAACTTGTCATATAATATGTATAAAAATATTTATTCAAAAACTATCTAAACTTGCCAAATGACTCAACTGTTGGTAATAGCATCTATTTCACTGCTAATAAATAGCTGGTTTTCAGTTCTGTCTAGCATTTGTTTGCCCTATCCCTCCATTTATATGTCTTTTCACCAATCTATTAGTTCAATCATTTTTTTCTTTATATTTTCTAAGGAAAGCTATAACTGTACTTACTTTATTTTTTTACACTTAATTTAATGGTTGTCTAAAATCAAATTTTGAGATCAATAATACATCCAAAACCTGATTGTCCCAAATTCCCTTCAAAATATTCTAACAAAAGAAAAACAAAATTTACATACACAAATAGATGTGTTGAAATAGCTTAGAAGGAATATAATAGATATTGCCAACTCAGACCTCATCAATGCTATCAGTAAGGTAGAACTGAGGTTATTATTTTAAATCACAAAGACCCAGCAATGCTATAACAAGCATTACTGGACACTAAAGGTAGCATTTATAGTAAAAATGCATCATTCATTAAGTCAAAAGAAAAACTGGGCGAAAGTTAATATACAAAGAAAGCCTGCACATCAATAAGGAAAAGACCAACACCTAAATAACAGGCAATGAATAAGGACAGTTTGTAGTTAAGGAAACATAAATGGCATTTAACTATATAAAAAGATAATCATAATTAGACAAAATAAATCTACATTAGGTTGGTTTTTAATTATAACATTTGTGTAAAATTCACTTCATTTTATTATTAATTCCAAGACTGGCAGTATTTTTCCATCCTTACAGATCTGTTCACTTTATTTTCTCCCACAAAATATTTAGTTACAAAGTTACAAAGAATAAAATCATGCAATTTACAAGAAAATGAATGGAATTAGAGACCATCACATTAACTGAAATAAGCTTACAAAGCTAAACAACACACATTTTTCCCTTATATGATGTCTTACCTAATTTTGCATTGCTGGGACAAAATAACCCATACCCACAACTTAAAGGAGAAGGTCATTTAGTCTATGGTCAGCTGGCTCTAAAACAGAAATGGCAGGGCAGAAAGGCATGGCAGTGAAAGGCGGTTTAACCCATGGCAGACAGGAGGTAGAGGAGAAGGAAGGAGCTAGGGATAAGAATATACCCTTCCAAAAACACCCCTATTGATCAAGTCCTGTCTCCAATAGCACATTTAACTACTTATCTCATTAATGGTTGAATCCATTGATAAGTATGGTGCCCCGCGATCCAATTATCTTCCAAACACATACAATTTTGGGGGGACAGTTTAGATCTAAACTATATTTATGTAAGTGAATAACTGAATAAATGAATGAATGAATGAATGATGAGAGGAAGCAGGAGGCAACTTTTGGAGATAAGAAAGGGAATATGATGCAGAGAAGTACAACAGGAGAAGAGATATTTTAAATACATATGCTAATTTGCCAAAATGAACCTTATCACTCTATATTTCTTTTTGGTTTTTTTTTTGTCTTTTTCATTTTTTTTTTATCAGTACCAGGGATCGAACTCATGACTGCCTGCTTGCAAGGCAGGAGCTTATGCCGCTGAGCTAAATCCCCAGCCCCTCACTCTATATTTCTAACATGTACTTTAAAAAAGATGATATGAGACAAAGAAACATAAAAAGGAAAGAAGGGAAAGAAAAAAGAAGGATGGAGGGAAAAGAAAGAAAGGAAAGAAGAAGCAAGCAGGCATACTTTAAATTGGGACAAGAAGATGCCTTCGGGACATCTCAGAAATCAAAAACACCCAACGCATCTATAAAAGTGTAAACCTTTTGTTTGGTAAGGAAGTCCCTAGGTCCCTGCTTAAGAGAGGAAGCTTAAGGAGCAGGTTCCCTGGAATTCATTTCACCATGGTATTCAGAGCCATATTTTTTTTGGTTTGTTTTTAGTCATATCATCTTCATATTTCTCCTGCTGGTTTGTAATACAAAATTACTAAAAGATCCCAAGAAAATAAGTAGTAGTATTTAATATTTCATATTTACTTCCTACAATATTCAGAAAACTAGTATCTTAACCATGAGAGAAAAACAACAAAGAAAAGATAAACCTACTTGTTTCATAAATGTTACACATATTTTCTATAGACATTCTATTTTAATATAGCCTATAAATGGCTTCCTAAAACACAGATCCAGAGAACCATTCCATTAGTCTCTGTTTTTCTAAACTATATAAAATACTTCCTTCAAAATGGACTCCCCTTGAGTATTATATTTTTATAAAAGCAACTCATGGTATAACCACATAAATTTATAAAGAATTTAACCAGAATTTGCTAGTACATCTTTCATAACAAACACCAGGTTCACGAGAAGATGTATTTCTTTTTTTCTTTTTTTGATACCAGGGATCAAATTCATGACCTTGCACTTGCCAGGCGCTTGTGCCACTGAGCTAAACCCCCAGTCCTTCTTTTGCATTTTATAATGTTTAAGCATCTAGGTAAATATCTTTACTATGACCAGATTGTCTTCTAAGTCTGATGTTTTTAATGAAAAGAAACATTACTGTTACCACTGAGTAGTAAGTAAAAATCCAAGGAATTTAATGCCCAATATTTATGCTGTTCTGAATTTTAATGTCCATGTTTTTTGAAGGGATATATCTTGAATATCATTATATAAAAATTTAAACCGAGAATTTGCTTAGAAATAGCTAACTAGGAATGCCACAAAAAGCTAATTTCACTTTAGTGTAGATTATCTTATGTGTTTCAAAATATTTCAATTTTTTTTTTTTTGAGATAAGTTTTTGCTATGTAGTCTAAATTGGCCTTAAACTCTCAGTGAGTCTTCTGCCTCTGATTCCTTAGTACTAGGATTACAGGAATGTACTACCATGCCTGGCCAAAACATCTCGATCTTTTTTTTTTTTTTTTTTTTTTGGAACTAGGGATCGAACTGCCAGGCTGGCATAGGCTGAGCTAAATACCCAGCTCTTAAAATACTTTAATCTTAATAACCTAGTTTTCTCTCTTTAATTCAAGTGAGATGAATTAAGACTTACCTTTCAGTTTTCTGAAATACACAACAGAAATGGACAGTAGATTACAGATTGATACGTGATTACGAAAATCTTAGAGGAAATAACCTCTCATAGATTACAACATTAAGAAAAGAATAATAAAGGCAAAAGAATTATAATTATTCAATAAAAATTTAAAACTCATTTAAATTAGTGAATACTGTATTGTGAACTGAGAAAAACTAAAATGAAAAGGCACAGCTTAGACTTACTGGGTTGTCTGTGGAATCATCAGCCAACTGCAAACCAAAATAGTCTCGCTCAGTCAAATCAAGATGCTTGAAGACTATATCCAACAGAATTTGCCCCTGATCATGTTTCTGGAAAAAAAATAAAATGAAATCAACTTTAATAAGTGTACATACTTTATGCTTTTTAAGCTACTCAATCTGTCTTTTTTTAAAGTGGTATCTGCATTTATACCTATGACTTGCAGGTAAAGACTTCACATATAACACAATATTCTTTTAAGCAAAGTGGTTAAAAACAAAATAAATATGAAATACAAAGAAATCTTTGAAAATGTCAACTGCTTTCAAGCTACCATCCTAGAATTTTTGTTATTTCATATTGTTGCTTATTACCTTGTATGTTTATCCACATCACTTTTCTTCTGCATTTTATTCTTATGGTTAAATTATGACTGGCAAATGACATACACAGTTCTATGTACAATAATGCCTCAGAAGTGGGGAAAAAAACATGATAAAATTATTTGCAGCAAATCTGTGAAAAGACTATTGTCATTACAACAGGACTCAGATCTGAAAAAAATTTCACTTTAAACTTACAGCAATCTGTCATGAAAACAGTATTTATTATCCTCTTGTAGAAACACAATTCTACAGCTACTAAATTAAGGTACAAAAGGCATGGTTAGATTACTCCTTTAAAAAACATATAAAAATAAAGCATAAAAACAGAAATGATCAACATGTTCATCAATAAATGAAACTGAAAAATTACAATAACATGGCATGCATAAGTAACAATGTAAAAGTAAAATCCAATGAATAAAATTTAAAAATTAAATACTGTTAATAATATAGATATATTTTGAGAGAACCATTTGGAAATATTAAACAAGAACAATAATAACATCAACTACTTCTGACATGCTAATGCTAACCAAGTAGCAAAATCCAATTTTGTGAGAAAACAGTAATACGTACATCAATATACTCAGTGCACAATTATTTATATAAAGCAAATATTAGAAGATCATAGCAAAGAGTGGTTATTTTTCCAAGTTTTCCTCTTATTAGATATGGTAGTCTGGACACTCCCAGTTATAAATTCAGTTTCAGAGCTGAAACGATTCTATTATAATCAAAGCTTTACAAAAAGTAGGTGGGGGAAATCCTGATGTGTTATACAGCTCATCCATGAATAACATTTACAGTCACAAAAATAATGTACCCCAGAATACTACTGTAACCACATTATATAAACAGGATGGAAAGTTGAAGATAGTGGTAAAAGAGAACTTATCTCTTAAAATGAGAAATAACAGGTAATGCCTAAAACTGAAAAAGTAAATAAATGAAAAAGGGCACATAATAATAATATGTAAGTAAATTTCAAAAGAATCTATTGAAAAGAGCTGCACAGTTGTCTATAGGGAAGGATATATGGAAAAGTGCAAAAGATTGTTGCTCTTTTGTAATATACCTTATCACACAACTAGAATTATTAGACAATGTAAATTAAACAGAATGCAATCTGAAAACACAGAAACTACATAAAAAATATAAACATGTTATATAAACAAGGCAATGAATAATTTAATTCTAAGAAGGGCAAAGCATAATCATAGTATACTATCTTGGCTTAACAATGAGTAACAGCATAATCATAAAAAAGTAAACAATGACATGAAGACAAAACTTGCCTTCTCCTAAACATTTTCACTTTTTTAAAGCATACTTCAGCATTATTTGGATTAAAAACCATGTCTCAAAAAGACAAAAACAAAAAACCTCCAAAAACTCCCATTTCCTCAAAGCTGATCCATTAGGAATTTGTGGGGAGGATAGTAAAAAGCCACAAGGCTGAATTATAGGAACTGACACAAGACGATACAAAGCAACAACAAAAAATAAAAACAAAAAACCCAACCAGATGAATAAGGTGTTTGCTGAGCTCAAACATGATATAACTAAAAAGTGAAATTAATAAACATAATGCTCAAGGAGTTTACAAGAGACACTAATAAAAACCTAGTTGAGTTAAACAAAAACAGTATAAAACAAGAATGACCAGTTTAGCAAAGAATTAAAAGGTTCATGAAAAGCTACCAAATAGAAATCCAGGAGATAACAAGTTCTACTGAAAGTATGGGCTGTAAAAGTGACTGATGTAAACAGAGTCCAAACTAGAAGATATGGTTGATGTGAGTGACTAATTACTTAGCTGTACTTAAAAATGAGATCATGGAAAATAGACCCAAGAGCTAACTCAAAAAAGACTAATTTAAGATTATTTGGAATTAGTGAAAACTCAGAAGACAGCATATACAGCATTTTTTAAAAAAACCCTGTTTACAGAAATCCTAGCAGAGAACTTTCCAAGTATGTGGAAAGAACTTGACAAACAGGTAAGCGAAGGATCTAAAACCTTAAATAACTACTATCAAAAAAGAACTTCACTTTAACATTATAGACAATTAAAGTTAAATTAGACAGAAATATTGTAGGTAGTCAGATAGGGCTGAGCCCTTGAAAGTACCAGGGTAAAGGTAAAACACATCTCCAGGACACAGGTGACACATCTGTTAGAAACCAGACCTCAAGATAAAGATGAGATGGCCAGGCCTGTATACTTCTTGAAGTACAAACACCAGGTGTAATGAAGCCTAGGGGGACATCAGTCAACCCAGTGGGTGACCAAGACCTCTGGACCTATCATTTCCCAAAAAAATCTTTGTTCTTTCCATGCATCCTTGTTATATGACTTGTTTCCCCAATAGATCACTGTTACCTAAGTGACTATACATATACTCTTATACATTCTTATACCTTGTACCCACATGGGTATACATGCTCTATAGAATTTCCCTGTAAAGAGGGGTCCTAGGGCAACTCATTCAGGCCCCTTATGCCTCGCAGGAACTATAGCTCTCTCAATAAATATCTTTCTACTCTTAACCTCTTTTATTCCTAGAATTCATTCTTCAGTTGTAAGAGAACAGGAACTTGGCATATCAGACATCCAACAGCTTGAGAATTCTATTTCCCTTATATCATAACTGGAGGTTCTGCTATCATCCCTGTAACATACTCATCATAGTTAAAATCTCAGAAGTCCAACACAAGGACAGAATCTTAAAAGCTGTTACAGAAAATCACTTAAAAGTAAGCAAATTAGAATTATAGCAGACTTCTCAGCACAAACCTTGAAGGACAGAAGAACCTGAGGTAGTCAGGCATGGTGCCACATACCTGTAATCCCAGCACTCAGAAGACCAGCCTGAACTACACAGTGAGTTCAAGCTCAGCCTGCACTACATAGCAAGACACTACCTCAAAAAACAAACAAGGGCTGGAGATAGCTCAAGTGCTTGCCTGGTAAGCATGAGGCCAGGAATTCTATCCTTAGTACCACAAACAAACAAATAAAAACAAGCACACAAAAAAAATCAGAGATGAACTGTCCTAAGCCCTGTTTCAACCCAGATTAATAAATCTCTTTTTTTTTTTTTTTTTTTTTTTGGTCTTTTTCCTTTTTATCAGTACCGGGAATCGAACTCATGACTGCCTGCTTTCAAGGCAGGCGCTTACGCTGCTGAGCTAAATCCCCAGCCCCTCAGATTAATAAATCTTGCAAAACTATCCTTCAAAACTGATGAAGAAATAGTCTTTCCACTTTAAATTCATGACCACCAAACCATCACTCCAAAAGTTTCTCAAGAATATCCTGGAAAAAGACCAGAAACTTAATAATGCCAAAAGCTCTAGTAGAATGACTGTATCAGGGAGGATAAACAATTAAACAGAAAGAGGGGGAAATAAAAAGCAATAGAAAAATAATGCAATGACAAGCATAAATCACTTTCTTTCAGTAATAACTCTGAAATGGTCTCAGCTCTCCAGTCCAATACACAGATCGTCACAGTAAATCAAAAATCAAAATCCAAAGAAATATTACATGGAAAAAACACATTTATAAAAATCCATACACTTAAAATCAAAGGATTGGAAAAATCGATATTCTATGTAACACAACCCCAAACAAGCAAGGTCACTAAATATTTATTAAGGAAACAATGCAAAAGGAAGAGAAAATAATGACAAATATATATGCACTAAACACTGATGTGCTGAACATCATAAAACACTACTGAAGATAAAAGATCAAATAAAATTATATTAGGGAACAGCAATGTCTCATTATTGTAAATACATCAACTAGACCAAAACAATCAACAAAGAACTATCAGCGCTTTGAACAAATAGACTCAACAGATAGATACAGATTGTTCCACCCAACAATACAATACAAATTATTCTCAGCAGCATATAAAACCTTCTTCAAAACAGATCACATACTAGCCCATAAAGTATGTTTAGGAACATACAAAAGAATCAAAATTATCCCATGCATGTTATCAAGAATACTATAATTAAACTAGAAATCAATCACATTTGAAATCATGGAAATTATGCAAACACATGCAGATTAAAAAAAATACATTGAATAAACAATGAATCACAGAAGAAGTCAAGGAAGAGATTAGCTCCTGGAATCAACAATAATGCCAGACAATGTATCAAAATCTACGGAACCAATGAAAGCATTCCTAAGACAAAAGTTTATAGCTGTAAATGGCCAAAACAGAGTAAGCCCAAATAAATAACCTAATAATAGTGAGCCTCAAAGTTCTGGAAAATCAAAATTAAAATCTACTACAAGAAAGGAAATGAAAGATTAGATCAGAAATTAATGACACTGAGACTAAAAAAACAAGACAATCATTGAATTGAAGAGCTGCTTCTTTAAAAAGTAAACAAAATAGAAAAAGGTTAGCCAATCATACCAAAAGAAAGAAACAAAAGACACATACCAGTGCATTAGAAAGGAAAAAAAAAAAAAAAAAGAAATTACAACAGATATGCCAAAAAGCACGCTATCAGTAAATACCCTGAAAACCTATGCCCCCCCAAAATTGGGAGAATCAGAAGTGGATAGATTCTCAGATATATATGAATTACTAAAACTGAACTAAGTAGTTATGAAAACCCTAAATAATCCATGACAGACAGCAAAATTGAGGCAGTAATAAAAAACTTACCACCTAAGAAAAGTCCTAGGCCTGACAGAT